TGCTGCCTCTCAGCGAGCAGGTCCCAGGTTCAAATCCAGGTCCGGGGGCCTTTCTGGGTGGAGTTTGCATGTTCTCTCCGTGCATGCGTGGGTTTTCTGCGGGTACTCCAGTTTCCTCACACAGACCAAAAACATGCATGTTAGACTGATTGGCGACTCTAAATTGTCCCTAGGTGAGAGAGAGAGTGAATGGTTGTTTGTCTCTATACGTCTCTGTGATGGACTGGAGACCTGTCCAGGGTGTACCCCGTCCCTCGCACAGTGATTGCTGGACATGGGCACCGGCGACCCCCGTGACCCAAAATGGAACAAGCGGGTAAAGAAAATGGATGGACTTCTTTTGGGAACAAGAAACTTCAAAGTGTGCACATTTAAGTTTCACTCCAGAGCCACACCGGTCCCTTAGACACAAACTGACAACAGTTCTTATTAACCAGCAATAAATTGTATTTTTTAAACAGCGTAAGCGTTGTTAACTATTTTCAGTCACTTTGGCTGTTAATGTAGTTAAACTCGTGTAGCAGTTGGCAGCTAGGCTCAATTTTTGCTTACAACTTAATATATATACATATATATATATATATATTAATTCATATTTATTTATTAATTCATGACTTTTCATTTAGTCTCCTCCAGGGCTGCCCGTTTTCACCGATTCTGTTCATAACTTTTATGGACAGAATTTCTCGGTACAGTTCAGTGGCCTCAGGATTCATCTCTGCTCTTTGCAGATGATGTGGTCCTGTTAGCATCATCGTGCCGTGATCTTCAGCTCTCACTGGAGCGGTTCAGTCGAGTGTGAAGCAGCTGAGATGAGAATCAGCACCTCCAAATCTGAGGTCATGGTCCTCAGTCAGAAAAGGGTGGATTGTTCTCTTCAGGTCGAGGGTGAGGTTCTGCCTCAAGTGGAGGAGTTCAAGTATCTCGGGCTTTTGTTCATGAACGAGCGAAGAATGGAGCGTGAGATTGACAGACAGATTGGTGCAGCATCTGCAGTATTGTGTACTCTGTGCTGGTCCATTATGGTGAAGAGGGAGCCGAGCTGCAAGGAGAGGCTCTTGGTTTACCGGTCAGTCTACGTTCCTACCCTCACCTATGGCCAAGAACTCTGGGTGGAGACCCAAAGAACGAGATCGTGGATACAGACGTTGAAATGAGTTTCCTCCGCAGGGTAGCTGGACTCTAAGTTCAGTTATCAGGAGAGCCTCCGAGTAGAACCGCTGCTCCTCCGCATCGAGAGGAGCCAGTTGAGAGGGTTCAGGCATCTGGTAAGGTTACTATAGGCGCCTCCCTAGGGAGGTGCTTCAGGCATGTCTGACTGAGAGGAGACCCCGGGGAAGACCCTGGTGTCGCCAGGAGCTGGGACTGTGTGTGCGTTTCATTCTATGAACACATTACTTTTGCTTATTGCCACTAATTTAACTAATGTTCAGCCACCTGCAGCCCTACCTGTGCCTTCATGTTCATGAATGTCTGGATCAAAGATGCTCCCTGAGACCTCAGACAGGCGGTGCAGCGTGGCACCGACCCTTTGGGCCTTTAACTCCCACCGAGGCCGTAGGAGCAGAACGTTTGGGAAGCGTTCCCGCCGTGCACCTCGTTAGATAAAAACGTCCACCAAGCTGCATCATTTCCAAATCATTCTTGATCAGAGAGATAAATCCTGGGGTGTTTCCTCCTCATTTTAAACATCACACAGACAAAAACAAGACCCACCCGCAGGCGTCAGCCTCCGAGCAGGAAATGGCTTCATTTAAACAGGAAACAGAGAAAAATCTGACAGATTCAAATCTCACAAAGACACACACGACTCGTGTCGGGACCTTAAGAGATTAGGCCCACGTCTGTAATATTAATCTTTATATTCAGACAATAAATATGTTTTAACAGGGTTTAACATATTCCACAGAAGTCTGGCTCATGAGTTGTTCGTTTACAGAAGTTTTTCCTTCCTGAAAACTCGTCTCGGCTCTCGGAGTGAAGTTCACGCTCCTCCGTACGTCAGGCGCCGTCTCCTCACAAAGACGACTGACACCACTTGACCCTGAAAGTTCTGGCCCAAAGCTGACCCGAACCACCACCCAGAGGTTTGTCGGCAGGAAACTGATCCATCATGTCAGTTTGTTGTAGATAATTGTTCGTCTCGTGGTTACACTAGATGTTTTGAGCAACAAAAACCATAAATAAAACTCTATATTCCTTAAAGGAATGCCTAAAGAACCAGAGTTTTAATTTAAGATCATCTTATGTTAAGAATAAACAGAGTTATAGCTATATTGATCAAACTGTTAAATATTTTTTATGTATGATATCATAAGATATGATATTTTCTGTGATCTGTTAACTTTTGGAGTGTGCGTGGCAAATGACTCTCAGCAACCACATCAAGCTTTTGCTCATTTTAGCTCAATATCATTAAAATTTAGAGGTACAGCCATTTATTTAAGCTAGTGTTGATTAGCTAGGGTAGCCATCTTGAAATGGATTAACTCCAAAGGTCAAATTTACCTCCAGTGATCAATTTCTGAAAGTTTCTTTGAAATCTGTTCATTAATTTTTGAGACATGTTGCCAACAGACAAGCAGGGTTGACTCCAAAAACTAATTTCAAGTTTTTAAGAAAAGTTCTTGTGCAATGTGTTGCACTCATGCTAGGAACAACTGCTCAGCTACTACCACACCACACATTAAATATCTCTCCAGTTTTAGCTTCTCTCCATTGGCTCCCTGTCAATTCCAGAATTGAATTCAAAACCGTACTTCTAATCTACAAAGCCCTCAACGACCTAGCTCCATCTTATTTTACAGAACTTATTATTCCATCCTTTCGTAACAGAGCAGTTCACTCTCAGACTGCAGGTTTACTTGTGGTTCCTAGAGGTTCAAAAATTAGAATGGGAGGCAGAGCTTTAAGTTATAAGACTCCTCTCTTGTGGAACTGACTTCCAGTTTCCAGGACCACAGAAACTACACCTGGACCACAAAAACTACAGCTGGACCATAGAAACCACAAATGGACTGTAGAAACCACACCTGAACCAAATAAACCACACCTAGACTGTAGAATCCACAACTGGACTATATGAACTACACCTAGACTGTATAAACTACACTTGGACCATAGAAAACACACCTGGAGTGTAGAAACCACAAAACAACCATAGAAACTACACATGGACCATAGAAACAACACCTGGACCATAGAAACGACACGTGGACCATTGAAACCCCACCTGGACAGTAGAAACCACAACTGAACTGTATAAACAACACCTGGACCGTAGAAACCACACAGACCATAGAAACCACAATTGGACTATAGAAACCACACCTGAACCATAGAAACAACACCTGGACCATAGAAACCACACGTGGACTGTAGAAACCACACCTGAACCATAGAAACAACACCTGGACAGTAGAAACCACAACTGAACTCTATAAACCACACCTGGACCATAGAAACCACACCTGGACCATAGAAACCACAATTGGACTGTAGAAACCACACCTGAACCATAGAAACAACACCTGGACCATAGAAACCACACGTGGACAGTAGAAACCACAACTGAACTGTATAAACCACACCTGGACCATAGAAACCACACGTGGACTGTAGAAACCACACCTGGACTGTAGAAACCACACCTGAACCATAGAAACAACACCTGGACCATAGAAACCACAACTGGACTGTAGAAACCACACCTGAACCATAGAAACAACACCTGGACAGTAGAAACCACACGTGGACTGTAGAAACCACACCTGGACCATAGAAACAACACCTGGACAGTAGAAACCACACGTGGACTGTAGAAACCACACCTGGACCGGTCATTCTGTGTTTGTCTGTGTCTCTCTCCTGTCTTCTTTCATCACAACCAGTTGAGGCAGATGGCTGTCCATCCTGGTTCTGGTTCTGTTGGAGCTTTCTTCCTGCTACAGGGGAGTTTTTCCTTTCCACTGTCGCCAGCTCAGGATGTAACGTTATGACGAAGTGGAGATTTGACTTTCTTCAATAATTAACATTTTATAATGTGTGTAAATGTTTTTGTACAGTGCCCTGAAAGTTTTGCACAAAGTTCTTTCAGTTTTTGGATTCATCAGAACTCAAAGTAAAAGACTTGGTCCAGGTTCTGCAGCTCATTCGTAACCCAGCAGTGCACGCACGAGTCCCGTCACAGACGGCGTGCCCTGGCTGCAGGACCTCTGTACCCCCTTTGGGCTGTCACATACCAGGCTGAGGGGGCGAGCTCGTGGTGGAACTGGACTCGGGGGACAAACAGATCCTATGACCGCCACCCTGCAGCTGTCGTTGGTGTGTAACACTCAGACAGGAGATATTTGAACGCCCTGTCAGCTCAGGACAGAAGAACTGAGTCCTGTCAGTCCACAACTGACCAGATCCCACAGAGATGCACTGGTTTTCATCATGTGGGTAGTTTCATGACAGATTTATTAACTCTAAAACAGTAAAAGTTGGATTTAGTTGTTGCATATATACAAGTGACATTTCAGACAAGGTGGTTTATTTATTTTGCTGTCCAGTGGTGCCTGGTGAGTCCTTCTATAAAACCTGGAGCACAGTGACATGCCACGCTGCCTGTAGGTCCTATAACCTGAGTGAACACTCGTGTTTGTAAGCAGCAGCTGGCATGTTGGAATCAACACAAGCGGCAGCTGTCTTACTAAAAGTGTCTTTGCATCCGAACAGCGCTCTATTGTTCCTCTCTCCAAAGTCAGCAGTGTGGAGTCTGCAGAAACCGCTCCATAAACTCTCACAAACTCCTGCCCTGACACACGCTGCGCTGAGACTTCAGCCGTTAAACATCTGATTTTAAACTTTATCATCCGGACACAAACACAGAAAATACATGAAATAACCACTTAATGTCTTTAACGACGGCTGGATTATTCACCTGCTGTAATCTCTGGACCAACTAATCTCCTGCAGCATCAGCACCAACACAACCAAACCTCATCCACCCATCCTACCTTCAATCTGCAGCCTCCAGCAGATCAACCCTCCACCTGCAGCAGCAGAACTTCAGCTTCTTTCCTTTTCTTCCTGTTTTCGTCTCACATTCGCCTCCTGTTACTCAGCTTCACTTCTTCCTCTCGGCGTTTCTCTTAAGTAAAAATCTTTGCCCTCTCTCTGTCTGAAACCTTTTGCCCCTTGTCACCAGTCAGCTTGTTGCTCCCCTCACTGAAACCCAGGCCTGTCCCGGACCCATGGCATCTCCAGGAGGGACACATCCAGCTTCCTGATTGGCTGGAGGGCACAGAGATGCCCCATATTAGGTCCTGCGAGGCGGAGCTGCACTACTATAATAAAAGAGGGTGGAGAGAGATAAAGTTTGTGACACAATCAAGTACAGGCTGTAGTTACTGGAAGCCTGTCGCAAACTGGCCTGCACACAAATAAAACTCTGTATGTAAAGTTTATCATGAGAGGCGGGAAATGATGTTTGAAATGCAAAAGTAGAAGCTCCTAGAATATCTATTGGAGCCTGAACCTTAAATTAATCTTAATTTGTCAGAGCACAGATTGCTGTGCATCTGACAAACTGGGTTTGGCCACTTCGCAGCAACGAGTTAATAAAAAAACAGACTATAGAGCATAAAGCATAAAGTTCAAAGGTCAGCCTCTTTCCTGTGGATGATCTCTTCAGCTACTGGGCGAAGATACATGTGCACAAAGTGTCAAACTGACTGATCTGCCTGCAGGGTCTGGTTTACAAGTCTGGTTCTGAAAGGCTGGACGTAAAATAAACAAAAACAGAATGCAATGGTTTGTAAAACTCATAAATCCACATTTTATCTACAACAGAACAAAATGAACACAACAAACGTCCACGATGAGACTGGACCATTAAACAAAGGTCATCTTGAATTTGATGGCAACAACAGAACTCATTAAAGTTTAGGACACGTTTCCTTTTTGAAACATTCATTTTTTAACAGCAGTCTGATAAAGTCCAGGACCTGAAGAGACCAGTTGTTGGAAGTTTTGGAAGATCTGAGGAGATCAGTTGTTGGAGGTTTTGGAGGACCTGAGGGGACCAGTTTTTGGAGGTTTTGGAGGATCTGAGGAGACCATTTATTGTAGGTGTTATTGGACCTAAGGAAACCAATTGTTGGAGATTTAGGAGGACCTGAGGGGACCAGTTGTGGCAGGTTTTGTTGGACCTGAAGAGACCAGTTCTTGGAGGTTTTGTTGGACCTGAGGAGACCAGTTGTTGGTTTTTGGAGGATCTGAGGAGACCAGTTGTTGGAGGTTTTGAGGGACCTGAGGAGACCAGTTTTTGGAGGTTTTGTTGGACCTGAAGAGACCAGTTGTTGCAGGTTTTTAGGGACCTGAAGAGACCAGTTGTTGCAGGTTTTGAGGGACCTGAGGAGACCAGTTGTTGCAGGTTTTTGGAGGACCTGAAGAGACCAGCTGTTGTAAGTTTTGTTGGACCTGAGGAGACCAGCTTTTGGAGGTTTGGGAGGAAATGTTGTCCCTTTCGGGTCTGATGGAGGATTCCAGCTGTTCAGTCCTGAATTTTCATTATTTTTTACATTTTATGTTTTGCTGGATGGGATCAGATGTTTTAACCTGCAGATGTTTTTCTGCATTGATGGATTATTTCCAGATTGTCAGTTGTTTATGTCAGAGGCACTAATGTACCCCCATACCATCAGAGAGGCAGGCTTTTGAACTGTAAGCTGATAATAGTCCGGAGGGTTCCTCGCCTCTTTTAGTAGGATGTAGCTTCCTCCAAACAGAACTTCACATTTGGACCCGTCAGACCCCAGAACAGTTCTGGACTTCACCTCAGTCCATTTGAAACGAGCTCTGGTCCAGAGAAAACAGCAGCTGTTCTGGATGGTGTCCACAACTGGTGTCTTCTTTGTCTGATAGAGCTTTAAGCAGCATCTGTGGATGAACTATGTGTGAACAGAACCAGAACCAGACCTGGTTTTAATGCAGTGGCCCCTGAGGGCTTCGTCCTTTGAGCTCAGATTTCTTCAGATTTTTCTAATCTGAGGATTATATTATGAACTGGAGATGATGGAAATTAAATACAAAATACAAAATAATTTTTTTTTTTTTTAAATAATAAAAAAAAAGGGTCAATTTCTTAGTTTAACCATTTGACATGCTCATGTTGTTCAGTTGTGAATTAACAAAATGTGTTTATGAGATTTGCAAATCATTTCATTCCTTTTTTATTTACACTTTACACATTGTCCAAAAGTTTTCAGACGTGAGGTTGCACTAAATGTGCAGTTGGAAAAAGTTCATGACACAGAAAGTGATAAAAGATATAGATATAAACAGTGTGGCTCAGATTTATTTGTCAAAAAAGCAAAACAACTTGTTTATTTACCTCACAGTATCTCTCCAGAACTATTTTTCAGCAGCTGATGTTATTTTTATCCCAAATAACTAAAAATAGAACTAGCAGTGGTTGGATCTTGTTTAAGAGGAAGACGGATGCATTTAAAGGAAGCGGCTGATGGTTTTTCTTTGTGTTTCTGTGCATCTCTGACTAAAAGCTAACTTTTTTTTTGTATAAATCTGCACATTTCACAAAACATCTGATTGTCCAGTAAACAAGTCAGCGATCAGGTGACACCTCAGAAAACCAATCCACGCACCAAGGTCAGAGTTAACGTGGAGGTATCTGATGGTTGTTGATTTTTATTTGTTACCAAAGATTCACAACTATCAAGATCAACTTTAGGAAACTTGGAGGAAAGCTGAAGCTTTGGGAACAATAAAAAAAAAAAAAACAGAAATAGTGGATCAGATCAAGATTTCTCAGATTAAATGACAAAATATGATAACCTATGGACAAAATACATATAAATCCATTTTTAAGTCTATATTTTTAATTTACTTCATTTTGTATATTGCTTCGTGTGCTACCTGTTGTTCTGTCTGTACAGCACTTTGGTTGGCCTTGAAGCTGTTTTAAGTGCTCTATAAATAAAATGGTATGGTATAGATCCAAATAGGTAAATAAAAGAACTAAATGTCCAACATTATAGAATACAGACAAGTGCAAATCAACTCACACATGAGGTGCAGTTTGTAAAGTTACAGTCAAAAATTAACAGCAATATTTTGGTTTATTTAGCCTTTGATAAGAAAAATAAACTTTTTTTTCAGTCATATTTTCACCATGTTATACATACATTTATAAATGTCATAGTTCCAAACTAAATATTTAATTTCCAAGCTAAATATTTATGGTCCAAG